ATAATCTCAAGAAGTCACTTCCAGACTCAGCTATTCAGTGCCTGAGTCATCATCTTCTAGGGAGCTGCTTGCTGGGGAAATACTCCAATCAGTTGCTGTTTATGCTTAATTTGGTCACAGGTTTCGGTGTAACTCAACATAGTTTAAGCACCGAGGACTGAAGCTCTTTATCTGGCAAGCTGAGATCCTCATCCAGGGAGTGAAGCAAAGAGTCAACTCCTACTTCAGTTCTAAACATATTTTGGTAGGAGATTGATGCCTTGATAGGGACAATACTGAACAGATTCCAAAGCTTGAGAATAAGCATAGGAAAGATACCGCTAATACTGTCTATGCCTCAAGTCAAACCCAACCTTCAAATTCCCAAATTTTACCTGAATGGAACATTTGATCCCTAAATTCTGTGGGATATCCCGGAGCTGGCTTAATTTTCTAGGTGAGCACCACTAAATGTAATAGTATCCCAGTCTTCTTATTCATCTTCCCTTGTTACCCTCTTCTTTGCTCTTGTGATTTTTGTGGTGGATTTTGAAACCAAGACAACATGCAGGTTGCATGCACTCGTGTCATTCTGCATGTGCCATTGTTTCCATGTATCCCTATAGAATCTGTAGAGATACTGCCTTTTAAGAACAATTTTTAATTTTCAACTATTTTGCTTTTGATGAACAAGCTATGTTTTTCATATCCTGCCTGCTTTAAGCATTTTTTTTAATATTGACTCCACTGAAAATAAAGAAGTTCATTGCAAAACCATAGCAGAATGGTAGCAATAAACTTCATCTAGTTTCATAAGTCCAGGGTGAGAAGTGCTTTCCGGAGCTGATGTAAAAATGATTTAATTAAGTTCTTTATTGCTGAAAGGTTACCTTGATTTTTTTTTTTTTCAAGAGTTGCTTTATTTGTTTAATATATTAAGTACTCTTTTGTTGTGCTTTTTTTCTGTCTTTCCTGGAAGATACTCAGAAATGCAGTGTAAGTTAAACTCTCACTGTAATTCAGTGGTCTTCTAAATCTTGAAAGCTTTAATGCTTTTTAGAAAAATGAAATTTAATATAAAGTCTTGCTTGATGCACATCCAAAAAGACATTTTTTTTTCGGGTTAGGATAATGGGGAAAAGGTTCTGCTCATTTTAGAGTTCAGCCAGGAGATGAGACATCTCTGGGTTTGGCTTCTCAATCAGTTCTAGTTTTATCCTGGAGAATTATATGAGAAAAGTTAACAATTGGGTCTTCTCTGTTTCATGAGGGAGAAAAAAGGTCCTGTTAGGGTTTGAATTCTAGCATAGCCAACCATATTAGTAGCTTTTGAAAATAAATCACGATTTCGAAAAGTCACCCAACTGCAATCCTGAGATAGACCCCAAAATTTGAGCAAGAAGCAGAATTTCAAATAAACATTCCTATTGGCAGAACTGATTAAATAACTTTACCAACTACATCTCTGCATGCTGCCTGCTGTGAATTAAAATCAAGGAGCCTATACTCTTTCTTTTTTTTCCTTACTTTTAAGATGCACAAGCAACTTGTTAATTACAGTGAATTTCAAGGAAAAGCTGGTGGGTAACTTTTTAGGTGTTGCAGATGTGGATATCCCATAACACATTCTTTTTTGAAATCAAATCTTTTTAGCTTAGAGCCTTAATGCATTTGTTAGTGTCAGGTATAAAGTATTGAGTTGGTTCATAGCCCTGCTGAGTATAATGAAAAATGATTAAGAATATAAAGTCATTCATTCTTGTTTTGTTCAGTTCAGATGGCAAAAGTTCTGTGCACAAATTGCCAGAGCAGAGACAGTCTGTTAGGAGAGCCCTATATGAACAGGACATGTAAGCTAATAATAGCTTTGTGAAACAAAATTACTTTATTTTATAAAAAGGGTTGAGAGACGAGCAGAATATGTCAATAAAGCATGTAACTGGGAATCTGAGCCAGCCATGGTTTAAGAATATGAAGAGCTTCATCCAAGTGAAAGCTTGATACTATTTCTATTAGAAAGTAGATGTTTTAAATCGAGATATAATGTGTGTAGATAAAATACAAAATATGTATGTGTATATGCATGTATAAAATGTGTAAGGTGGTATATTCATGTACCTTAACTCCCTAGATCAAACTTTCTCATCTTTGTGTTGTAAGATGTCTTCTGTGTCTGCATAATGACTTGTGTGAACGTATCTTTTGTTTTGTAGTTTGTGCCATTCCGGGATTACATTGACAGAAGTGGAAACCACGTGCTAAGCATGGCAAGACTTGCTAAAGATGTTTTAGCTGAGATCCCAGACCAGTTTCTGTCCTACATGAGAGTCAGAGGAATAAAGCCATCACCTGCACCACCACCCTACACACCTCCTATTCATGTGTTACAGACTCAGATTTGAGTGCTCCAAAGTGCTTAGCATTTTTCAGAAGTCGAGAGTCTCTGGATGCAGCAGTAGCTTTTTGGAGCTAGAAAAATTCTCTTCACATACCAAAATTCTCCATAAGGTTGCATGAGCAACTGAAAAGCTTTTAAATGCTAGGATGAAAATGTGTATGTTCTCTCCAAGTCCTTTTTTTTTTTTTTAATTTCTTCTTTTGGACAAGAAACCCTGCTTTTTTGATCTATTTATTCGAGGGGAAAGCACAAGTCAGGATTTCAACTCAGAAGAAATGTCCTCTCTGAATACTGTGTGTACATAAATGTATAGGAATGCTATTCCTCTGTATCAATGTTTACATGTTACTATTTTTAAATTTCAGTACTTTTATAACTATTCTTAAGAATACAAGTTTGGAATATTGATTCACACGTCTTCTAGCTTGCAATAGTTTGTCACAAGACCACAAGAGAAGCAATATCTCTTTGAATGTTTGTCCAGACAAATACAAATGGAAGTTAAGAAAAGGACAAATATATATGTGTTTTCCAATACCTGAATTGCTTCAATCAGTGCTTAGTAATCTATTCATCTCACACTCTGAGAATAAGCTCCTAAAATGTGAATATCATAAATTGTCTATGACTTAGGACCAACTCCAAACTTCAAGGGGGAGGTATGTGTATTTTTTCAGAGATTCTCCAATTTCTAAGTTTATCTAAGTTTACAGTTTTTTAAACTAGTTACTGAAGCAAATTAGAAGAGTTACTTGCTATAAGTAATTAAAGAAAATTACCTCAAATCAGAACTTTGAGTATTACAGTTGACTCACTGAGCTCATTAAATCTTATCATGCATTCCTTAAAGCACTGGAAATTTTGCATCAGAAGAGTCTTTTGATGTGATTACAGCAGATGTTTTATAATGGATCATTTTAAACTTAATTTAAAATTATAACTTTTTTGTCTAGATTGCCCATTCAAAGGGATGCTGGCTCTTAATATTTGGGTTTATATTGTCATTTAATCACATTTCCATTCAGGATGCATGAATGATAATGTTAATTAACTGGTTTAAAAATTGCACAACCATGTTGCTTTGTGCACAATTTTGTGTACTGAACTACCCAAAAATTTTATTATATGCCTGTTCATATATAATTATGAAATGATTTTGCATGTACAGTTTTTACGAAATACACAGTTTTGTGAGTTTGTGTCAGATATATTTTATTTAGAACTAATGGCCTTAAATTTCACAAAACTCCTGAAATGATTGTGAATTGCCTTCAAATACTGTTAAAACTGAACATTTTTATTTTTTGTGTGTCACAATTGTAACTGTCTTGTAATGTAACTTCTTTTCTTTGCATATAAACTGTTTACTACTTCTGTTTCTTACTACTGTATGTGGTAATGTACAGTATGAAACTAAGGTGCGTTTTTTAAGCATGAAAAGTTTTTTTCCAGAAAACGTATCTTCAATATTAATGGCATATAACTATATAAAAGCAGAATCTTCCATTTTTAAATATATTTAAATTCCTTTAACTATCTCATGCGGGAAGTTCCTTTTTCCAGATAATTATTCTGTTGGTAAGGGGGAGGGGGAAAAGTTAGTTTTTTTTTGTAGAAATAAATATTGTTTTATTTTTGTTTCAAAACAGTTTTTACATAAATATGAATTTTAATTTTCTCACCAAAATATGTATTTCTTAGTGGATTGGTGTTGCATGAATGAAATTTGATACCTGACAATTACAAATTTTGATGAAAGTGCATCATAAAGAATGTTTAAATCTACTGAACGGTGGTGGTGTTCTCCTTCCATCTCCTGCCTTTATATCTCACACTTGCATTGTTGGCACTTTATAAATAGCTGAATTAATACTATATTTCTGTTGCTTCATTCTGTTAGATGAATCTTTATGCTGACATTTGTATGAGTTCACATGGGTCCATGTTTTTAGCAGGTTTTTATCTGAAAGCCAAAATTACCAATTTACGTTAATCAGTTTCCAGGTCTTCCGAGTTTTTATTTCTTCATTTTTTGTCTAATATTTATATATTTATCTGGTGTTTTATCTAGCATTTATTCATTTCAGATTGAGTTATTAAAAAAAAAAAAAAGAGTAACTTAGCTCTCATTTAATCAGCACCTGTTATTAATGCCAAGATCAGTCTCAAAATTAACAAGTGAGGAAATTTTAAAGATTGGTATTATTTAATCAATTTAATTGACAAAAATTAATAAATAATTTAATAATTAATCACAATTTTCTTTCTGTCCAGCACCAGTTCCAACCTATTCTGTTCTACACTGTTGTTTTTCCTTCTGTTTGGTATTGGAGTGTAAATTTAACATAATTAATGGAAAGAAAAAGATGTAATCAGAGGGATGATTTGTCCTGGGACCAGTACTGTTTAATATCCTTATCAGTGACATAGACAGTGGAATCGAGTGCACCTCAGCAAGTTTTCAGATGACACCAAGCTGAGTGGTGCAGTTGATACCCAGAAGGAAGGGATGCCATCCAGAAGGACCTGGGCAGGCTGGAGAAGTGGGCCCATGTGAACCTAATGAGGTTCAACGAGGCCAAGTGCAAGGTGCTGCACCTGGGTCAGGGCAACCTCAGACAGGAGTCATCCCCCTCTGCTCTGCCCTGGTGAAGCCCCACCGGGAGCCCTGTGTTCAGCCCTGGGGCCCCCAGCACGAGGAGGATGTGGATGTGTTAGAGTGGGTCCCCAGTGGGTTAGAGCTGGGGATGTTCAGCCTGAAGAAAAGGCAGCTTCAGGAAGACCTCACTGCAGCTTTTCAGCACTTAAAGGGGGCTTATGAAAAAGATGGAGAGCAACTTTTTACGTGGGCAAACAATGACAAGACATGGGGGGAAGGTTTTAAACTAAAAGAGAGGAGATACATATTAGACGTTAGGAGGAAATTCTTCACTCGGAGGGTGGTGAGGCACTGGTGCAGATTGCCCAGAGAGGCTGTGGATGCCCCATCCTTAGAGGTGTTCAAGACCTGGCTGGATGAGACCCTGGGCAGTCTGATCTAGTGGGAGGTGTCCCTGCCTATAGTAGTGGGGTTGCAACTGTGTGATCTTTAAGGTCCCTTCCAACCCAACCCATTCTGTGGATCTATAATCGTATGATGAAGTATTCTAGTGGGAAAAGGATTTTTTTTCCAGACTAGTGACATTGCCTCTGGGTTCAACACCCTAACTCTGTAAAGTGCATGATATCGTTATGCAGGCCCACAGTCATGCCAGTAATAAGGATGAGAGTCAATGGTTATAACTTCTAATTTCTGCAAAGCATCATATCGAGTCATTTTTCCTTCTGCCATTATTCTGAAGAATAATGAGCCATAAAACTCCCGTTCCTTCCCAGGAAACGCTAGCTGCTGTACTTTCCAACAGGATTTCCAGGTTTGGACTGTCACTTCTCCAACCAGAGAGTTGCATCTAGTTCTGCCATATCCAGCTGGACTTGGAGTAACAAGGTGTCCTGGCCAGGCAGCAGGGTGCAAGCAGCTCTATGCAGAGTTCGCAATCAAGGTAATGCTTTGGTAATGCACATGTTGGGTTGTAAATTCTACCAAGCTGTTGCAGATAGCATTTCATAATGAATAGTCCTCTTATTCTAATTACTAAAAAATACCAGACACTATTTATATTTAAGAAAGGGAAAGTATAACATGATGGGACAAAAATGTACAAACATGCAGGGTGCAAACTGTATAAACGTCCTACAGATTAGGAAGGGCACTGTCTCATGGGGGATATCATTTGAGAATGACTTTGAGGTTTCATTTAGACTAGCAGGTTATCATTTGGTAATCTGGAAGGAGAAATTAGTTTGATCTTAGTTATGAAGAATAGAATTCTGTAATTGCAGGGAAAGGTGGCAGCCTACACAGCAGAATTTTCATGGTCTTCAAATCAGCTTACTTCTATACACAAAAAGGTTTGTTAAGGATGGTCCCCAGGGAAATATTTGAAAGAGTGATAAAGAATTCAGGAGAACAGGTATTTGCTGGACAGATACATTTTGAAAAGCTGAAAAGTCTCAGCTAAATAGGGTCAGATGAAATTCATTCCAGAATAATTCAAAAAAAATGGCTGAAACAATCCGAATGATAAATGATTATCATCTTTGAGAACTAATAAAAGGACACAAATGACAAATTATGCCAGTGCAGCAGGAAACCAGGGAGCATAGTAAGAGGCTATTATGACTGTATCAGAAGTTCTTCAAACAGAAACATCAAAAAGAATAGAAAAGGAGAATATGTTGCTATGGATAAATGTAAAAGATTAGCACAGGCAAGTGTAAAAAAAAAATCAGGACAGTGAAGCACTAAGTAAGTGCATAAAGGCCAGCAAATCCCAGGCTAGAAAGGGGAGGAAAGTCGGGCCCTTTATTTAATGAAAAGAACAACTGAAGAGTAAATCTAGAGAAAACTGAAATGCTAGATGTCTCTTTTTCCTTCATTCATCACAGAAGAGGAATAATAACTGAATTAAGTGGCCAATTCCTCTCTCCATCCTTCCCCCCCAAAAGTTATCTAGACCTAGGTTTACAGCTACCAATAAAAACGTGTTAAAAATGCATACTTTTGAAATGATTGTCCTGAAAAGCAATATACTAAGCTTCAGGATAAAAGAAAGAAACAGCTGCCATGTAATTGTATTAAAGCTTTTAAATTACATTTTAAAGGCAAAGAGGGAGATAATGGCTTCATTTGAAGGGCTATGAAATACTACAAAATTGGTTAGGCTGTGTTCAGAAAAATGCTAGCAGTCTTTCATCGTCCAACAGGAAAAATGTATCCATTGGTCTTCTGTAGGGACCGGTCTTGCTTTTGGTACTGTTTGGTCATTGCCGCTGATGACATGATATATAAAAGAGTTTTATTAAATTAGCAGGTTATATCAACTGGAGATGATTCAAACACTTTCAAATACGGGCTTAAAACTCAAAAATATGTTTGTGAATTAGAAAAAATACCTGTATGAGAAGCAAATTCAGTGAGTTCAGATAAGAGTACTTAAGTAGCACCCAACTGCAGTATTTTCTGGCTATGCAACAATTCTGCAGAGAAGTGTCTGAATTTTGTCCTGGTTTAGGCTGGGATAGAGTTATTTTTAAAGTTATTTTTCTTCATAATATGGTGCTGTGTTTTGGGTTTAGGATGAAGATCATGTCATTAACACCAATGTTTTCTTTGTTACTGGACAGTGCTTACACTGAGTCAGGGACTTTTGTCTGCTTGTGCTGCCCTGCCAGTGAGGGGGCTGGGGATGTGCAGGGAGCTGGGAGGGGACAGAACCAGGACAGCCGGCCCAGACTGGCCAAAGGGATGTCCCATGCCATGTGGTGTCATTCTGGGCAATAAACTGGGGGCTTGCTGGGGGGCTGCTGTTGCTCAGAGATTGTCTGGCCATTGGTTGGCTGGTGGTGAGTAACTGTGCCATGCATCACTTGTTGCTTCTAATGCTTGTTTTATTTTTGTTTTCCCTTTCTTATTAAAATGCCCTTATCTCAACCCACCAGTTCTCGCACTTTTACCTTTTTTCAGTTCTCTGCCCCATCTCACTTGAGGGGGACTGAGCGAGGGGCTGCGTGGTGCTGAGCTGCCTGTGGGTTAAGCTGCGACAGGCGATGGTGGATGGCAGAACAGACACTGGGCAGGAGATGTGGTGGGACATCCTGAGTATAGACTGCCTGAAATAATCCTTTCACCGTTCTCAAAATATTGAGGCCTCAGTTAGCCTACCGGGTCCAAGTTTTGAGACTTCAAATAAGACGTGGATCAGTTTGAAGAAGTCAGAGAGAGCTGTCGGAGTGAGCTAGGCAAATGGCCAGGGAAGGTTTGAGTGTGGCTGGCCTCCCTGCCAGAGCTGGGCTGTAATATTATTTTTTTTGTTGATCGCAGTAACTTCCACAGCAAGGGTCAGTGTGACGCCACAACTTGCCCTACTGATGTGGGAGAGCAGATGGACGTAAGCATGGCAGAAATATTTTCAGGAAGGACTGGCCATGACCATTTAGATCATTAGGTTGTTGCCTGATATTGCTTATTTCTCACATGAAGTTTGCTCTTACTTCTTTCAGAATGCTTTATGGCAATACTACATTTTTTCTTCCCTCACTCCATGACAGATGATTGTTTCTTTGCCACTCCTTTGATATGGCATGATTTCATGTTTATTCCAAGCCAGCCTTTTGCATTGATGCCCATTGCTGTTGGAGTGGTGTCTTGCCTCACCTGGCTGGCGGTGACTGCTATATCAGGTTGGCCCTCTACACAAAGGGAATAGATGTTTCTGAGCACGTGCTTACTGCCAAACGCTAAACATTAATAAATTTCATCATTGGGGTTCGTATTTGGTGAATTTATTTTGCAAAGGCGTTGAACCAACTGAGCATTCGTATAGATACACCATGAACAGAAGGCGTACAAATGTTGTGAGATACCTGCCCTGCACCTATGATGCCACCACTGTGACTTCCACAGGTGGCAGGACAGCCTTCTGCAGCCACCGCCAGCTGTGGCCACGCACTGAGTAATTTCATCATGTCTGTATTGGTCTGTTCCTACAAAACTCCTACCAGCCTGGAGAGGAACATGATTGTCCTATTAACGGGGCGGACACGTGCATCCCCTTGCCACAGGCTGTTATCTGTGGTTCGGTTTTCTTTGGGCTGCTCGTGAAATCAGAGCAATTGGCTGCATGTGCAAAGTGATTAGCAACGAAGGCTGTGTCTTAACTGAGTGGGCCATCAGGATGCAATCACCAGAGAAAGGGAAGGCGCTGGGAAGCGAATTGGCTGGCTTCTGTGAGCACAGAAGTTCTGGGCAACTTCTCTGTGGAGAATAATGGAGTAAATAATCCCCTCACCATGTCATTAAATACTTCCACTGGCAAAAAGCCCCCAGAAGTATGGAAGCGAGAACAGAGCCTTGACTGATTACTTTCTGTGAGCAGGGGGAAATAGAAAATACCAATAGGTTGTCAAACCTGGAGGAAAGAAGGGAGTTCTGTAGGAGTCTCTCACGTCTATTGCTGGTAAATATTGTCATTAATGCTATTAACAAGGGATTAAAGGCTACATTTATAAAACCAATGAATGTGTCAGCTCACCAGGGCTGCAGGCTGGGAGGCTTGATTAGAATTCAAAAATGTTTCTGATAAATGAGAGGGAAGGTCAGGAATCAGTAAGATAAACTGCTGTGAAAAAGAAGTGGAAAGTGCTGCATTCAAGAGAGGAATAAATAAGCACAAATGAAATGAAAAATACCTGGATAAGCAGCAACACTGGAGTTAATAATCTGCAGATTACAGCTGTGCTCCAAACAGAATATGAATCAAATTGAGATACCTAAAAAGCAATGATCTCTCTGGAAGATGTTAACAGCAGTAGTGGCTGCATGAGGTGGAGATGATTATTGCTTGCCACCAAGCAGTGCTGAGCCTGGCACTGGGTCTGGACCACGCTTTAAGGAAGATGTGGACAACTGTGAAAGAATCCAGAAGAGAAGAGGAGCAGGTGTTTTTTAATTGTTGAGGAAAAAAATTAAAGCTGTTGGTTATGTTTTGTATGCAAATGACCAGGGGGTCCATGCTAACTCTGTGTGCAAAGAGGTGCTGTAATGAGCTGTCCTCAGAGGTCAAAGTGATGGTTGCTGAAGTTATCATTTTTGGCAGCAAGGAGGACAAAGCTTCCTAACTAACTGCAGGGCACTGTCTAGTATATCTCAGGGACTCTGGGTAATCTGTGTCTTAGAAATTGTTCAGAACAGGCTGGACAGCCATTAGGGATGGCCTCCCTCTGAGCAGGGAAATAGTACATGAAGTAGTTAAACATCCTCCTGATGTCCTGCTTGTCAGCCCTGCAGATGCAGCAGCCGTATGAAGAGAGAGCAAAGAGCAATACGGCTGGAGAGGAGGCAGAGGACTGGAGTGAGGCATGTACTCAGCGGCTAATTATGATTTCCTTTACTAAATTGGTCCCTTCAACTGGAAAAGAGCAAGGGAAAGAGCATCGTCTACCACAAAGTACTCAAGCACCCAGTGTGGTATGGTCATGGAAAAGGGCAAATGGCACCTTGGAGCAGCTCGGGGAGGGCAGCTTGGGTAGGTGGGTAGGAAGGCAGCAGGCGAACTATGGAGGGCTCTGGTGAGATGTCACCCAAAATGTGTATGCTTGTATGTGTACCCAGTCACCCGATTTTAGAAGAGATGGATTCAGGTGGGCCGGTGAAGAGGATATTCCCCTCTGACAGACAGGTCCCTGTGTGTGTGACCAAAGGCTAAGAGCAAAGCTCTTCGCTTCGATGACGGTGAACGTCAGGGGAAGGGTGGATGTGCCAAGCGAGCTGGTGCCAAAGCACAGCGAGATGGAAGTCTCTGTGTGCAGATCCCAGGTTTCTAAGCAGGACTGCAAACAGGTGCTGCAACAGCAGTCACTGTAGCTTGATTGAGGGAGAAACTTAATGCGTGTATGACAGAGGTGAGAGCACGTTGCTGCCTGCAACATCTGGGAGCTGAATTCCCCGCTGTTCCAGGTGGCAGGCAGACATGGAGGGGGACAGCATGCCTCTTTGGCCTGTGTCAGAGAAAAAAGGAATCAGAGTACTTGGTCAAATGAGTTGATTCCTACTTCTCATCTCCACAGACCTCATTGCCTCGAGGGGCCTTGAGGTGTGTGAGGAGGTGGCCATCATGGTGCTCTGTGGCCTTCTCCTTGGGCCTTCTCCTTCAGCCCTTGGCCAGGCCTGCTCCTCTAGCAAGGGTGTCTCCAGAGGAGGTGGAAGAACAGGAGGCAGCAAGGGACCCTCTAAAGCTCTTCTCCTCAAACCTCATAGTCCCCTCCCCTGCTCCAGGGACCTTCTGTTTTTCAGAGAAGATCAGAGAGCCTCAGAAATGTGCTTGAAGTGAGGCGAACCTGTGTCCTGCGTGGCCCCCAGCATGGTGCTGGCTACTTATCATCTACTATAAAGGCTGCTAGAAAGCCAGGTCATGAACCGGGCACCAAAATCTCTGCATGCTTCAGATGGTAATGCCAGCATCCCACGTTTCCCACTGATAAATTGGTAGAGTCAATTTTACTGATGCTCTCAGGCAGCTGTGGTTACCTGTCATTGAACAAAGGAACATCACACATTACTGTGACTGATGCGTAATAGCTCAGGAGCTGGAAATTATATTTTAAGCATGTGGGCTGGTGGGGAAAAAAAAGAAATCAACAGAAATATTTCCTACAATTCCTTTACAGGGAGGGACATCGGATATGGAGTTACATCCTCGGGATTCAGTAACACCAGGCGATACTGAAACACTATTTCTTCAGTAACAAGATATTTTCCTCACATCTCCAACTCACTCATCAGTAACAGAGGATTAAGGCTCGTGATAAAAGAATTGAAACAGCACTTGAGAGATACTGGAATAAAGCCATAATTGGACTAACATTATCAGGTGCCTTTAAATCTGTGCTTTGCTTGTTCGTCATGCAAAGCTTCAAAGATAAATGCCTTTTTGGTGTGGAGGGAGAATCATTTTATGGTGCGAGTGGTTTGTTAATAATACCGTCCCCCACTGGCCTTCTTTGGAGCTAATGGTTTGCTCCTCCAGTTGGAGTTGCAGACATCCTTTTGTTGCAACTGTGACAAATATTTGACAAAAGAAACCCCACTGGCTTTAAAACTGAGTCATCCTCATTTTCTGCTATCTGGGCCTCCTCTAAAGCTGTCACCTTTCTGTAACTTAGACCTGTACAAATCTCCTGTGCAAATGTCACTTTGGCAGCCCTTTAAAAAGCTTAGAACAAAATTCCATTTTTCTTTTTTAGCATTTTACTCAGCAGAATTCACAGTGTGGAGAAATTACATCTGCTAATGAAATTAGCTATTTACCCCTCACTAAATTCCCTTCAGCGTGAGAATAGGCGTTGCAGCAGATAAAGCCTTAAAAAAAATATAAAAACCCAAGTCAATTGCAGACAGACTGCAATTGCTTCTGAAGTTATTTTTCTCATCTTGATAAGCCTCTTGGAGGAATACAAATGGGAAGAAGGTGATGCCATTGTGAGTGAGGAAAACCACTGAATCGCAGCATTTCATTACTGGAGAGAGGCTGTCAGCTGCACTGCAACATTTCCCACTGCCCTGGAAGAATTAGCGAGAAAAGAGAGACATGTTTCATGCACACCCACAGCATTAGCGAGGTTCTTTCTGGCACTGCTAGATATTTAACAGCACAGGGAGATTTCAAATGCTCGCTGATGCATGCACTGTGTCATTATCAATAGATGTGTCTATTACTTGTCATTCCAAGGAAGTATCAGGTTTCCAAAAACTCTTCCTAACAACGGCAAAACAAGCTGAATGGTGCTGTGTTTGAAACCTGTTAGACTGAAATAGGAACAAGAGGATATTTAAGGTATTGCTGCGCTCCGTGGGCAGGTGCTCCCTTCCTCTCGCAGTAAATGCACCCTGGGCATCACGCACTGGTGTGGCTCTGCTTCGGGAAGGGAAGGACAGCGCTCAGGTCTGAGGATATTCACGTGAGTATCGCAGCAAATGAGGTAACTGTTAACTGGTTAGGACTATTTCCTATTGGGAGAATGCCATGCTGAAGCAGTGAGGTCATCAGTGGATCAAGAAAGCATTAGGAAGCGAGGGGCAACTACCCACCATTACAAGCAAACACGTGCTACCACTAAATATGGCACTCACTGATTTATTTTTTAATTGAGGGTGAGAACTAAATGAGAGAGACTGGCTGTGATTACCAGAGAACGAGGTATTCATCCAGGTTTGTAAAGGGAGAGGATGGAGCAAGAAGGGAAGCATGACTCCCAGAGCACCCAGGACACCAGAGCTGGCACCCTGTGGCACCATCTGCCCTGGCATTGCTGGGGACCTCCCTGGGGAGCAGTGACAAGCGCAGGCTGTAACGGGAAGGCCCACACAGCACCTGAGCAGAAGGCAGGCAGCGAGGGCTGCTGCTGAACTGACCCCAGTAACACCTGGAGCCACCCAGGGAGAGCAGGCTGGCACAGGTCTGAGTTTAGGATATCATTGCCAACAGCCCTTTGGTTTCACATTGTCTGGAGAAACTGAAATTACTGCCAGAGTGAGGGAAGGCAGAGGAAAATGCTACTGAAGTGCAGTGTGCGTGGGTATTTTGTGAGGAAGCTTCAAACACGTGGGGGTTAGGGGGAGGGTGACACCAGCTGAATGCAAACTGAATGTAGATTCAGGAGGAAAATGCAAAGAGGCAAAGAGTTGTCCTTGGGCACTGCTCCCGCAGCAATAGCGTATTTGCAAAACATAGTGTGAGAACACACTGCTCAGGGCAGCACAGAAGGCACTTTCTTTGTTTTGCCATGAGGGCTGCAGGTAAACCTACCTATGAAATACGAAAGCGGGTGCCTGTGCAGGTGAAACTTCCAGGGCTAAAGGCAGCACTGCACTGCACAAACCGGGTATTTCAAGGTCGAGACATGGGATTACCCCTGCCCTTGGTGAAACCCCAGGAGGAAGAGACCTTGGAGAAATGAGGGGACCAAAGCCATTGCAGCTTGTACTGAGGGTTGGTTCAATAGCTCCTTCTCTCTTGTTGTATGCATGGTTTGCTTTCTTGGTGGGCTTTGTTAGTTAGTTAGTTTGCTTTATAGTGACTAAGCCATTATGTAAAAATTCTGTCTGTCTTATGGACAACCTGTTTTGAGATGTAATGGCCTTCCTTACCCAAAGTCAGACCCAGCAAGAGCTTGAGTGGCACAGCTGTCCAGAGCCACAAAAGGGAAGCACTGTTTTGAGGAAAACATGTTTTTTCTCCATTATTTCCACTATTTCCACCCAGCAGGGCCAGAGCAGCTGACTCAAAGGGTGCATGGATGCTACAGAGAGCCCCCAGCCAGGGGACAGGGACAGGTCTTACCCCAGCAGTGGCTGCAGACAGCCCTGGAGGGGCAGGTGATGACCTCCAAGCTTTGTGGGCTAAAGCTCCTCCTAGGAGTGGCCTCCAACACCCCCGGCCCCAGGCGCTGCCTCCCAGGAGCCAGCAGCTTGCACCAGAGCAAAAGAGCGCGTGAGATGAGCTGGAGTACTGAGTGAGTCAGATGTTAATCTGTTTCTGCTTCACACCTGCATAATTGCAGACAAAACTTCAGTTAAACCCATGCGGAACCTGAATTTCAGGCTGCAAACAGAGGCTGTGGGGTCTCTTTCTTGGAGACCTTCAGAAGCTGCCTGGACGTGATCCTGGGCAGCCTGCTCTGGGTGTCCCTGCTTGGGCAGGGGTGAGAGCAGCTCGCTCCAGAGGGCCCTGCCAGCCTCAGCTTTCTGCCTGTGGGAATAAAATGAGGGCAGATTCAGAGCCTTGATGGTCTTTGAAGAGTCACCTGTCCCACAAGGAAGCCACTATTTTCCCTGCTAGGTGGGAGCAACCAGGAGGCGATGCAGTAATGCATCATGCCATGCTAAAGGGTGGTGATGAGCCCGCTGGTGGGCTTGCACCTGATGCTCCCCCAGCATCAGGACAGGCTGTCTGAGGACACAGGCCTCAGCAGAGCGGGGTTTCAGCAGCTCCGAGGGCAGCAGCATCCCAACATAAAATTTTCCCTTTGCCTCCTCACTGCTCATTTTCCCATTGCTCCAGGATCACTCCTTTCAGATTCATTTCTTAAAAGGAGGAAATAGGTGGGCCTGGCTGGCTTTGTAGCAAAGTTCTGTGTGAAAAGATGATAGAGGCATGTCTGGAAAAAAACTTTTCTTCTGTCTTTTATCCTTGGGGGGCTGCTCCATGCCTGGACACCACTGACAAGCCCTCTAGGCTCATGACACTTGGCCAAAGCTGCCTCTGCCCTGAGCCATGTAAGCCCCCGGGCGCGGGAAGGAATAAGGAGGTGAATAAGGAGCCAAATATACACGGGTGACTCACGCTCCTCAGGAGCATCAGCTTGTCCCTGAGTGACACCCAGTATGACAGCTGGGTCACGAGTGCCACCCCGCACAGCTGCATCTCAAAGCCTGATGTTAGAGGTTTTGTGGTGGACCCTCCGAGCAGAGGGTGCAGGAATGGGGTCACACCATGGAGTGACACCAAGAGTTGGCTGCCACCGGTGCTTCATGGCCGGGACCTCCACACTGCCCTGCCCCGAGCCAGCCCCCACTTGCCTCCCCTGGCCAAAAAGGGGAACCAGAAGATGCTACGAGCTGAGAAAGCCATGTCCTGTGGTGTTTCTAGCCTGCTGCCCCTGGCTTTGCTGGTGGGACGTGCAGCCAGGCAAGTCCTCAGCCAGGTGTAGGCCCCTTCCTGCGGCCCTAATTGGGTGAAGCACTTATAGCCATCTGGTTCTGGCTAATAGGTCTGCAATCTGCAGAGATCTGAAAGGACTGCTTAATTCCAGGAAACCTTTTCGTCCTTTGATGTGAAACACTCCAGATTTGTCAGACGCCAAGGCCGCTGTCCTAGCACAGCAGGCCCTTGGAGCGGCAGATTCGCTCCCCCCACAGCCAGCAGAGCTTTCTCGAGGCAGGTGGCATCTTGGCATCTCTGCTGGCCAGCTCAGGGAGACACAGGGCAGCTCCACACACCTCCAGCAGCCACAGCAGCATCAGCACCACAGATGCTCCTGCCCCACTTGCTCATTACCATGGCATTGAGACATTTCTGTGAGGAAAAAAAAAAAGGGGGGGGGGAGGGCCTGGTCTGGAACTGACAAAATTTTCTGCTGGGTGTCTCACATCTGGATGGGAAATGCTGAGTTATGTTTCTTCAGAGCACAGCAGAAAAGCAGACGAGCTTTGGGGGCTGCCTAAAGCTCTGCCAGGCTCTCGCAGGCATGAACTTGGGATCCGGGAAGAAAAGAGTGGGGAGAAAGGCTGGAGGTAGCACACAGCAAGTGACTGGGGCCTCAGAGCTGTGCAGCCCAGCAAGGAGCCCCGGGGCATTTTGGAAGCAGCAGCAGCAGCATTCAGTCCCTGTGACAGGAGGCTCTGCCTGGAGCCTCCACCAACGTCTGGCTGTCGCTGGAGGACCCAGGAGCAATTTCACACAGGGCTCTGGCCTCCAAGGAGCCTCTCCAAGGGAGTCACTAGGGATTAAGTTCAACAGAAACACTTGATTGTCTGCGACTGCTCATGAAAATCCCCTCTCACTGTACCACAGAAGGGTTGAGGTCAACCTCCTTTGAGTGGTTTGTGGGGACAGGACAAGGGGCAATGGCCACAAAATGGAGCCCAGGAAGTTCCTCACCAACATGCGAAAGAACTTCTTCACGGTGAGGGTGACGGAGCACTGGGACAGGCTGCCCGGGGGTTTGTGGGGTCTCTTTCTCTGGAGATATTCAAGGCCCATCTGGATGCCTACCTGGGCAGCCTGCTGTAGGGAACCTGCTTTGGCAGGGAGGTTGGACCTGATGATCTCTGGAGGTCCCTTCCAACCCCTACAGTTCTGTGATTCTGTGATATGTCCAGGTGGCTTCTGAGCATCTCCAATGACTTCAGAGTTTGGGCAGGTGCCTGGTCAGAGGAGGACAAGGGTCGCAGGGATGTGGGGTGGGTGCTCCTGTGTAGAGGAACCAACACAGCACCACAAAAGCAGCTTAAGGGGGTTCCCTCAGGGGAGCCTGCAGAGGCATTAGTGCCCAATTCTGCGATGTGACAGGGAAAGAAATAGAGCACAGCGCCAGCTCCCCAAAGGGATAACAATGCCACGGAGAGCTGTGAGGAGAATATTAAAGTGAGAAAACTGATGAGTTGTTGCTGACCTAAAAGCAGTGGTGG